ACAACAAATTGGTACTTTCAGTGAATATGAGCGGTATGCTGGTGCAGTTAGCAGGAAATACTTTATATGGAGGGAAGTAGAAGCAGTTCAGAAGCTGAGGTTTGCTTGTTCCTATTCTAAGATTGTGTTCATTGCTCACATAAATATGAAAATGGCAGTTTTTGGTAATTACATTCTCTTCTACCCTTAAAATTTGAAGCGAGTAATCTGCGGAGGCAATCTCGTAAGCAAATTGCTCTTTTTGCATGATATAGTTTAGTGGCGTTGGGAAAGACAAGAGTAAGCTATCCGCGGTGCGCAAATCTCGTTTAACTAAGAAGGCAACGCACTTTGCCGCTTTCAATCCATAGTGGACAATGTACACTCTTCACTTGATTGATCTTCTTCATAACTTTCGCCTCCATTTTGAGAATTTCTTCTTCACGTCCACCGTCTTTGTCTTCGGCCTAAAGCGCTTAAAGACTTTTTCTTTCCAAGCAAATATATCTGGAGGTGCAAACTTTGCAAGCAAACCGTCGATGTGGCGATTCGATGAGTGCAACTTCGTATATCACTCCGCATCCTCCTTCCCCAAGCTTTCGGCATGCCTAAACTTACAGTCTATTGAAACTTGCATAGAACAGCAAAGCAGACCCCAACGATGTATCTCCCTCTGATAATCGAAGTTAGTTGTAGGTGAACGTTCGGTCTTCCCATAGGATAACAATGAGTTCTGATGAATGACGATTCCTACTCGATTGAGGGTTTATATAGGGTTTTAAATCAGTGTTAACAGATTTACAGATACTTTAGACAATGAGATATTGTAGCGACAGTGATGCAGAAAGTTATACCCCTCAAAGAGAATAACACGAATTGGATGAACCGTCTCTTTAACTTCAAAAGTGTCGCGCATCCAAAGCAATAGCATATTTATTCTTGCACAAGAAACTTAAGGAACATATGGCATGTTGATTATTATATGAATGAGTCTATAAAAAATGTACCTACTTTACAAACATTTATACAGAAAGGGTTGAGTGGATAGATCAGTCCTATTCTATGGTTTTTTTTTTGCAAAACGAAAAGTTTGATTTGAGTGATATTTGGAGTCGTGAAGCAAGTTATTTCAAACACACTTCCACACGTACCTACGCGCTGAAGCGAACTTCCGCTGAGTTTGATCACGTATACCTACGTTGAAACATTCACTCGTCCATCACCAGCGCTGCAATGGACTTTGAATTGTGGCAGAGCCATAACCTTGCTCGAGAAATATTGTCGACCGCTCTTCGAAGTGTCTTCATACACATGAATATTGTGAGTCTCGATATTTCAGAGTAACATCTAATAAGAATTTTGGTTTTCTTAGTAATCATCTTACTAATTTCAGAATAGCGAGACTAGAATATCGAAGGTGGTACAAATGCCTAATTGCTCCTCATCAAAAAGTTCGAGGTAAATCTTTGTTCTTGTTTGTTTCTTGACCCGAATGATAAAATATTTTGTATTTATATTCTGGAAAGCAGCACCAAACTGATTTGTTTTCTCAAAAGATTTTTTTCTCAATCTGATACTTCCTCCCTTTTCCTAATAATATGAAGTGGAAGCCTTTGCAGTCTTTTTGGAGGAAGAACGACTCCTCATACCTGGAAATCCTCGGCACAGCGGCTGCTGCGCTATCCGAACGTCAGTTCCGCTTTTGCTTATAATGATGTTTGTGATAGAACTTCCTGACTCAGTGCCAACAAGCAGAATAGATGAATACATTTTG